GTTGGCCTTAGCTGCTGGGTATCAGACAGAGGAACTAGGGGCCTGTCTCCTCAAAGCCCACAGTCTGGTGGGGAGATGTATAAGTCAACATCCAGTGTGTCAGGACAGAGGACAGCAGATGCCCTGAGCCTGGGGTTGGGCTCGGCCCTGCCTCAGACGCGACTGCTCAGGAGGGCTTCCTGGAAGAGGTCTGACTGGAGGGTGGAGGTGGGAGAGTGGGGAGGGGAGGCACCTGCCAAGGCCCAGAGGCAGAGCTAGCCCTGCTCGTCAGGGAACCGCAGTGCTGTGGGCTGGCATGCAGGCCATCGCTGGGATGTGGGTGCAGTGGGAGATGGCGCAGAGGTTAGCACACCAAGGAGCTTTGGGTTTGGTCCTGAGGCAGGGGGGTGACACGGAGTGTACTCAGCGTGGTTCATCCCTGAATCTCCCTAAATACCTGGCATGTGTCTGGGGTAGTAAATGTTCAATACTTACTGCTTAGACAAACATCCCAGAGGGGTGGGGACATGGATGCCTGCTTCCATGGAATCTCACAGCTTGCTGGAGAAAAGACTGCAGTTACCTGGAACCACCAGAGGGGTGCTATGGATCAGAGTCATTGGTGCTGAGACAGTGGGAACCGTGGGGTGGTGGTCAGGGAGGTTTCCTGAAAGAGTGGGGCCAGGTGCTAGCCCTCATGGCATTAGCAGATAGGGGAAACCCAGGGAAAGCAGGCTGGGGGCAGTCTGGCAGTGTGAACATGCCTGGCTCCTGGGCTTAGAATGCTTGGGCGAGGCCTCTTGGGGCTGGCAAATGCACACCTCATGGTTTCTGCCAGTAAGGAAGTTAATGAGGGTTCTCCGCCTACCCTGTCCTCCCCCATCAACCTGCAAAGTATTTAGTGTAGTGTAGAGTTCTGGTTTATCTGAGTCCCGTGACTCCCTCCACCAGGATCTAACTTCTGGCGTGAGAAGAGTCACTTTAGGGCCTGTTTTGGCAGAATCTAACACAGCCTGGGTCATGTGGATAAGAGCTGGGTAAGTAACACTCTTAGCGAAGAGCTGGCATCCTGAACAACTCATCCACTGAACTTGCTCATCGGTTTTCTTATGGGTAATTTCCAAACGTACCTTTTCTATTTGTCATCTGTAAAATGGGTACAATCGCAGTTTTCACGGGGTAGTTGAGAGATTAAACAATCCGCACGAATGGCATTTGTCACATCCTGATGTCACTGCTGTGCTGTGACACCTGTGAGCATGACCACCAGATGGCAGCAGGGCTCCACTACCGGCTAAGGGAGCGCTGCGTGGCACCTGGGGTCTAAGTGACAGGACAGAGGGGCCGGTAGGTGGCGCTAATGAACAAAAGACCAAGTGAAAGACATTGGGGAGTAGTGAGGACTGTGTTGGTTTCAGGTACACACTCAGCCTAAAGGAGGGGGAAGCTGGTTGGCTAGCCAGTAGTGGTCACATCAGAATGGTGTCAGACAGTCTGATTTTTCAAGAGAAGCTGGAAGCCAGGATTTGTTTCTCTTTATTTATTTTTTGATGTGAAATCTTCTGTGAGGAAATTGTGTGGATCACAACAGGCCTCCTGATTGCATCTTCTTTCTGAGTAAAGTGTGGGTGGAAAAAGGGTTAGTATCCTGTTTCCTGTGAGCTGCTTTCACACATCCTCACTTCCCTCATGGCTGCATCAGATACTCATTTCCCTCCCTCCCTCAGCTCTCTGGGGAGCCCTGTATCCTTTCATGCTTGTTACTGTTGTTATTGTATTCAAACTTATTAGATTATGGGCCATATTTTCTGACCCCCTCCCCTCATCCCCAGCAGGGAGCCCCACAGTACCTATTTCACAAAGGTCATTTGAGAATTGTAAACAAGACACTGATAGAAAATCATTTCGCCCAGCCCCAGGCTCATCAGGGATGGATAAACACAGTTCTCATTATGAAGACTTTAGGAGGATGGCAGGAAGCTGTATGGGAGCGTCTCCCTTGTCTAGGGGATGGTCACCAGGCCTTTCATCCTCCCCTATGTGGATGAAACCCCTGGCCTCAGCTCCTGACTGGTGTTGGGCACAGCCTTTCCCTCAGAGTCATACCCCAAAGGTGTTTCTGGGACTCTAACACCCCTGGTGCTTCAGGGTATGTTGGTTTCTCACCCAAGACAGTGGCCTCGGGCCCAAACAGCCCTGATTCTCCCCCCTTCCTCCAGTAGTGGGGCTTTCTGTTGTCCTCTGTGGCCAACATGTCAAAAGGGGGGGTCGCTGAGCAGCCATCAGGCGCAGATACTGCTGGGAAGCTCTTCTGTTCATAGGCTCAGGGAGTTCAGGAGACTTTGCAGATGGGCGCAGCGTCTCGTGCTGGTTCCAGGGGATCCAATGTCTTTGGGGGGTCTAAGCTTCTTCGCTGGAGCTCAGGAGGCTCTAATAGGTTGGGAGCTAAGAGAAGGAAGGACCTTGTCCCCAGGACTCTCCCTTAGAGCTGGCTTGGGGTCTCAGGCAACCCCCAGGTCACCAGGACACTTCAGATTGGCTCTGGGTTCTCATCTGCTTCTCTGAGGCTCTTCATCCTCAGGCTTGATTCAGGGAAAACAAGCTTTGACTAACAATGGCTTCGAGTTTGGGACAGCTCCCAGGCACAGGGTGGGGATAGTCTTCTCTATGTCCCAGCTTCTGCTGGAAGCCCCCACTCAGGATTGCAGGTCCTGTTTCCCGGGCCAAGCTTCCCGTTCCTGTCAGGTGGCTCCAGAGACTGGATACTGCAAGTGCTGCCTCTTCCCATGTCCCTCCAGCCTAGTAATAGGCCGTCTTTCCTTGTTAATCTCTGGGTCTCTTCTCCAGTCTTCTTTCACTCACACAACCCCCTCCCTATATTAATTCCCTTTGCTCAAACTCTATAGAGTAATTCTCTTTCTGACGTGATGGTGGCTAAGCGGCTGCTCAGGAAGTGGGGGTGCAGGAAGGACTGGGTAGTGGAACTGGGAGTCTATCCTTCAAGCTGCCCAGACCTCGGGGATGATTGGCCGGGACACAGAGGAGACACACCATGTGAAGGGAGAGCAGGGAGAGGGGATCTGTTTCTGACTCAGAGGCAGGAAGTGGGGTAAGCCTTCTGGCTGGGGAAGAAACTGCTGGTCTTTTTAAAAAATTTATTTATTTATGCTTACAGAACTGAGGTACAGGCCAGAGGTGTGATGGGTGAGAGGATTCACCAGAGAAAGTGAGGAACAGAACAGACAGATGGACAAAGTACACTGCTGAGGGGAGCAGCGGTGGGTCAGGAGAGGTCTGCCTGGCCATGTGGGTCAGCTCCCTGGCTGGGGATCAAACTCATGCTGTAGTGGCTTCTAGAGCTTCATAATGTGATGCTTTAACCAGTTGCACCACCAAGGGGGAGCCCACTGCTGCTGGGTTTTTTTTGTTTTTTTTTTTTTTTTTTTTTGTGGGGTCTGGGGCACCTCAGCAGAACCTCAGCCTGGGGAAAGACCAGCACCCTCACCACTGCTCTGGTCTCTACCCCGGGGCTGTTGGAGGGTCATATGAGGGACTCCGCTCTATGTAGTGAAACCAGGTAGATACATAGGATACTCTCAGAGCTGCGAGGATAAAAAATACAAATCTCAAGAGCAGCTACTGTGGACTTTACTCTTCTGCAGGCATTTCACAGGACCAGATGTGTGGCATTTAGTTTGAGCACCAGACCTCTCCCCTGTAGGCCAGGCCAAGGCTTGGGACGCAGGTTCAGCTGCCAGGGCTAGAAGAGGGTCAAGTCAGGTGACAGAGTTAGGAGATTGGGAGGGCATGGTGATCCCAGGACACACTCCCCAGGGATGAGGGGGAAGGCCAGTGGCCAGGAGCCCAGGGGGCATTTGAGGACAGGTATCTCCCAGTGCCCAGGCAGAACAAAATCAAAGGTCAGGTCAAAAAGTGGACACAGGGTCCCAGTCTTTGGATGGAGGCCCATTAAAGAGACAGAGATCATGGCAGGAGGCAAAATTGAGAACCAGGTACAGGGGTGGAGTCCACCTTTTGGCACAGAGACTTGTCATTGATTTCTGGGGTCCAGCCTAGAGCTGCTTGAAGCTGTCCCATGTGAGGACAGAACTGGCTCTGAGGAGCAAGGTGTACAGGATCTGGGAGAGAGTCTGGAATAAAGCAGCAGTTGTAGCAGTGGTCACAAGCTCAGACTTCTCATTGCTAAGCGCCCAGATTAGAAACCCTGACACTATACTTATTAACAGTGTAACCTCTACCTCTTTTCTTCCGGCAACCTGCTTGAACATCTTATTTCATCCCTCTAAAACCTCACCTTCCTGGGCCCTCCCTGGTGGCGCAGGGGGTTAAAACATAGTACTGAGAAGCTAAAGCCACTGCAGCATGAGTTCGATTCCTGCCTGCCCCGGAGGAGACCACATGGCACGGCAGATCTCTCCTGACCTGCCCGCTGCT